CATGGCGAAGGAACAGTTGCTACTCATTTTTTATCGACTTAGGTCAGTCGCGGCCGAGATTTGAGAAATTTAATGTTTATTAAAATTACCAGTCTTTATCACCATTTAATATCTATGGTGTGAATGTACTGTTCTCATGAGCTGATCAAGGATTTTTTTTCACCTCGATTAGGAAAGTTATTAAATTTTATCACTTAAAAAAACACAATTTCTGCATTGGAAGTTGGTAGGTTAAATGCTTATTTTTAATGTAATTTCTAGATAGAGTTCTATAAAATAAAGATAGCTATTAATCTGTTCTCAGTTTTTAGTGGGACTTATATTTTATGTATTTTGAACTTTACCTATGTAAAATTCATGATTTAGCCTAAATTTGTATATATCAATAATTTTATGACATAAAGTATTTTAAAAAGTGGAATGATACTTAACTATCAAAATTAAAAAAAAAAAAAAAGCCTATTTGATATCTGCATGTAGTTTGACTTTTTTCAATGAGAAATATACCTAGGAAAAAAATCACATATAAGCAAAACATTGCAATATTTACTTCACAATTAAATAATTTTTCTGGGACAGCTATTACACGTGGTTTTTAGTATTCTACTACATATAAAGTCATATTTAAAATTTCAGTATAATTAAAGTTTAAAATTTACACCTTCGGTAATTTATGTTTCCATGATCATAACTTAACAAAATTAAAGTATTGATGATTTTTTTTTAATTTACAAACTTTTAGATGCTATTATTGACAAATTATTGACAAACAAGTTGATAAAACAAGAATATCAGCAGTCTCGTTTAAAGTCATCATTTCGTAAGTTCTATGGTCGATACAATGACCTTGTCAGCAAATACAATTTATCATTGAGTCAAATGCTGACTGACGTTTTTCATACTAATTGTTAGGCCATTATTTACACACTGAATTGTTGACGAATTTTTCCGTCATTTCCCGCTCATGACAAGGAGCACACGGCGGGTGTGACCGGTCGGCAGGGGATGCTCACTCCTCCATGGCACCTGATCCCACCTCTGATGTTGTGGATGTCAGTGTTTGCTCTGCACCTATACCTATTTTGTAATGTTTAATGGACTTCTGAGCTTGAATACTGCTCGTTATCTCCATATATTTCATGCTCTATGAAAGAGGGACCATGTGATAGAGGCATGCACAAATCGAACTCTACATTTGATGAAAATGTTAAAACAATGTTGGTCTTTATACCTTATAAAATATTGCATGACTAACTAATACTTTTTTTTTTCAAAAATAAATAATCCAAAGAAAAATGAAATGTATTAAATACAATAGTTAATACATATTTCTGCTGGCAACTATGCTGAACTCAAAGAAGGCTTGTGTTTTGTCACATGCAACATCACAATCGTCGCCCGCGTGGCGGAGTGGTAGGGCGTCTGCTCTAGAGTCGAAGAGTTGATCCTTACGTCGCGGGTTCGAATCCCACTGTAGGATGTGGGACGAACAGTATTCGAGCTCAAAAGTCCATTAAACATTACAAAATACAGTGTAGGAGAAGAGCACACACGGACCTCTAAGACATCAGAGGTGGGATCAGGTGCCATGGAGGAGTGAGCATCCCTTGCCGACCGGTCACACCCGCCGCAACTGTTCCTTTGCCATGCGCTCGGCACTTTGAAGTGAAAGTTGCCGGTCCTTTGGATGAGACCTTAAAGGACTTATCGCATGTTTCTAAATTATTTGAAACTAAAAGCGTAAAACGTTCCTTATGACCACATTTTATAAATTTGGTGTTTCTACTGCGGATAAACCGCGGTAATTAACCAATTATTGACTCAAATGAAAACCCCTGAATTAAAAATCTAAGTTAATTAGATAGCGATCACGTGACCCTGTGACGTCAAAGGCGACAATGGCTGATCAGCTCTTCGCGTAAATCTTACTAAAATATACGCGATACAACCTAAATTTTCTGCGTAATGGACGACCAAATCAATGATTTTATCGATACGAAATTTAATATCCAACCTTATATTTTAGAATTGTCAGCAAGAAATAATCTGACAAATCCGTTAACATTGTAAAAATAGCAGCGGCGATAGCGAGGGAGACGCAGCGAAGACGAAGAAACTCGCCTTCACAATACAATTTGATTTGTCATTCTATCACATGTATTAACTTATTTGATTCACAAATTTAATATTACATAGCTTTGTTATTCTTCGTTTTTAACATAATATTAATTTATGCAAGTATGCTTTCATATGTTTTGTAAAGGATGGCGGTCTTGAAAAATAATTTTCCGATCACGAAACATTGCCGTAATCAGACCTACAGATTCTAAATGTTTGGAATAAAAAAACGAAAATATCTCAAAATTCCTATTCCTTAGAACTAGTTAGTGTTTCTATAGTAATTGAAAATCACGTTAGGAATTAATTTTTTCAGCATTTTTCATAATTAAGCTGCATTTGTCGTTGATAATTTCGTAAATAGTGTGCAACTTCTCATCTCTCTATCACTGAATTGTCGCCTATGACGTCAGAGCAGTATTTCGCCGAAATCCGACTGAAATATGCATATTGCCGTATTTGAATTTCAACTCTCAATATCTCTTAAAATATGCTTTCAACAACGTTTATTGTATTCAGAATTTTAATAAACAAGGTTGTAGATAATGTTTTTCATAAAATTAAGATTTTTGAAAAATCATGCGATAAGTCCTTTAAAAACTGAGGCCCCGTGTCACGGCAGGCGTTGGCACGATAAGGATCCCTCAATGGTCCTGAGTGCCGAGTAAAGGTATAAATTTGAAGCCCTCCGTCGGTATATAGTGACGTGTATATATGAGTGAAAAATTCTCATAAAACTACATACAATCAATCGATCAATCATCTTTCTGTGTCTTTCTCTTTCCAAAATGGCAAAAAACCGATGTTATTTTAAGTCCCTGTAACGTTATATTCAAATGTACATATGGTAAGCAGACAGATGTGTTTATTTCTGATGTGTCTATATGCATGTGAAATATAGGATGATTTAAAATTAACATGCTAAAGAAATATGTATCAATTACAGTAGCTGTTCATTGATATATATATATATATATATACACACACACACACACACACACACACACATGCATATATATATATATATATATATATATATATATATATATATATATATATATATATATATATATATATATAGCACTAAAAACCAACAACACTGTAATATCCTAAGTGTCGGATCTACTAAGTAGATACAAGGTCACGGATGGAAATTTATATAAAGCACAAAAAATGACCAACGACACGAACAATAATAATTGTCAAATTTTCGGGACGACCTGTCCCTTCCTCAGGACAAAGAAAAAAGTTAAGAAGTCATAAAAACAAAGGAAATAGAGAAACAAAAACAACTAGCACTACTACTAAACTACCAAACACTAAACACTAAATATTTACAGTGTTACATGTTTAATTTGAAGTTTATAAACAGTTGTGAACATAGAAATCCGGAGCGCTATGAATTGCGTCCGGTCTATCGGAAAATAGGGATAACTGAAGTATAAAATCAATTTTTGATATAATCTTAAGACCAAGATAAACCAAAATGATTTTAATATAACAGTATACTTAGATATCAAAAGAACATAACCCATTCTAGATTTCTCTGATTTAAGCTAGTTCAAATACATAAATCTGGGTTTTTTTTTCAATGCTCACTCAATATTTTTCCATATATCTCATGCAAAATGTGTAAATTTCATTGTCTTTGCTTGAGATGATTGTGACTATATTTGCCAGGTAATGGAACGATTTGCATAGCTAGATCTATTAAATATAATAAAATATTGTAATAATTTGAATGTTTGTAAATGCACTGTATATTGTAGGCCATGTCGTATACCAAGTGCGCTATACCTCATTTATAAATGACTTCTCCCTAGAGTCAAACAGCAAAGTGCCGGTATTAAAGCGATATTCTAGAGTAGCTCAGTTCATAGATTTAATATTTGTAAAAACATTATTGAAGGTTTAGTACCGGTGAAATTATCAAATGGAGATAGCATTGTCAAGAGCCAGAACGTTACTTCATTCACAAATGCGGAAGAAGAATTCATGAAACTCAAAGAGGCGATGTCATTTTTGCTGGAAACTACACTCAGAGAGCTGAGGACAACTTTGTGGGAGCTGAGAATTTTCAAGTTAACGTGCAGGTAATATAATAAGTATTTATTGACTGACATAGGTTTAAGCGAATGAATGCGGATGGTGTTAAAATAATATTATAGGAAACTGACGAAATTAAAGTTGTTTGATACCCTTGGTGCTGAAAGTATTGAATGCCTTGAATTCCTTTTTAATCGACAGGAAGTCCAGTGTGTAGTATATTCACACCCTTTTCAAAAACAAAAATGGATTAAAATCCCCAGACTAGTCGGTCATTTAATTGTACTAAAAAGGTTCACGTTTACCGAGTTGAAATGGACCATAGATATTTTCTTAGATTCGTGGATCAATTTGTTCTTCATTCGTTAACTTGAATTTCAGACAAGGGGAAGAATTGTTAGTGGACAAATTCCATCTTCAGCAAGTCCAATGGCTGAGAAAATAGTCTCCATTGTGAAAACAGCTTGAACAATAAGATCCATTTGTGCCATACAGTTAACAACAATACATCTAGGTTTGATCACTGACTGAATCCTGCCGTGTTACATGTATTTGTGTATAAAATATATAAAACATGTATATATTACTGTTATATTAAAAAGCCAATTAATAGAGTTTATTTTGGATTTATTGACATCCGTATTTCTGTTATGGATAAAAAAAAGTACATAACTGTAATAATGCATTGCATCATAATATAGAGGAAAAAATGTAAAATATGTCTTTAAAAAATAATACAAAAAACTCCAGACGTACATTATTGTTGTATCAATAATATTTAACATAATTCATCAAAGACATAAATGTATTAAACATATAAAATATTAATGCCCATTTGTATGAATGAGAAGGTTTAATAACAGTATGAATTTTCTTCATAATTCCCAGAAGGTATAAAATAAGAATATACATATAAATTTTAATGCGCATTAGTAGCACTGATTAAGCTACATTAAGAAGAATGCAAATTTTTTGAAATTTCGACATCTGCTTGTTACTTTTTTTTTAAATGCTTGTAAGTAAAAGAATAATTTGGAATGATTTTTTTTATCCTGTTAGTTCTACAATTTTCGTTTTGTGTCGTATGTAAGCATTCTAACATCTCTTTCTTGCTCCCATTTTGTCAGTTCCTCTTTTGGAAGAACACATCGCATTACTTCACGCATTAACTTATCACAGTCTCCGAAGACCCTTGATCCCAATGGAACTCCTTTATCATCCAGCTCCAAACAAGTATCATCATAATCAGTCACTTGTCTGTAAAACAGTTAATACATGTTGATGCAACTAGATAATTTTCTTTGAAACTAGGCCATACCTTAACATAAAGCTGAATACATATTAGGAATTTCTAAGAAGTACGTGTTTAATAAAAACATTCAGTTTTCTCCATCTAAATGGAATCATGGTTTTTTAAAAAAGGCTTTTTCATTCACTTTTTCCGGCATTTAAAAATTGCATTTAATATACCTGTTGCAGATGACTAAACGTGTTGGTTCTTCACCCATTTCCACCAAGTCGTTTGCTGGAGAAACCTGAAGTGTTGTTCCAAGTGCCAAAACAAGATCAGAGCGTTCAGCGTGTTCTTCAGCGCCGCGCAATACATCTCCTTCCAGATAATCCCCGAAGTTTATTATGGTGTTCATCAAGTATCCGTTACACTTCTAGAAGAGCAAGTTTCATAAGTTTAACCGTGTTCATAGTGGTCGACAGTTCGTAAGATTAATTCTTACCCTTACATGAAAGAGACCTTTTCCATTGATTCACAAAATAGTACTTTATTTTATCACAAAAAGAATTATTTAAGTTTGGAACTGAATACTAATATAGACTAGTAATACCTTATCATCACAGACACGACCAGTCCGATGATTAATCCGACAATGCTTGCACTTATTAACGGGCACATTAGTAGCTTTTCCCCCACATCTGAAATTTCTTACATAACGTTTATTGCATTTTTCACATTTTTCGACAAAGGTATTGCCATGAAGTTCCGATATTTGACCTTCTTCAATTCCAGACAAACGATGCAGCCCATCAACATTTTGACTGATCACGTGCTTTAATTTTCCAGTTTCCATTAGTTTGACTATCGCCTCGTGCGTGTAAGTTGGGCGGAGCTTTTGAAAGTCACGTGTGTATTTCTTGGATTTCCCTTTGGTTCCTAAACCATGAAAAAAAAATTTGGGGGAATTTGAATTCAATAATTGGTAACAATTTCAGTATAAGACTTCTCTAGATAAAAAGAAATAAAATGCATCACAAAATATATAACTTCATAATTGTTTTGGGAGATACATCTTGATACAGGTATGTTTCTTTCTTAAATTCCTGTCCTTTATATCATTATTATATGTCCTTTTAATTAACCGTTTTACCATGTTGTTTGACTTTGTCTCTTTCTGTCCATTTGCCACGAATTCCTCGGAAATCTCCTATACCGGCTGCGGTGGAAATACCAGCTCCTGGTTATAAATCATATTAAACTATCAAGTAATTTTTTGCTATGTTTCTGACCTCTTTTATCGTTAATATATTAAAATATCTGAACATTAGACCAATGCTCACCTGTAAACGCTATACAATATTTAGCATTTGTTATCAGTTTTGCTATGTGTTCCACTTCCTGTTTAAGTTTTGCGTACGAGTTATGGATTTCTGCTGTCTTTTTAGCCTCCTTCACCATGTTGTTTTCCTCCTTTGTAATGTCTGATGCTTTGTCTGTAGACAGCCTAAATAAGGCAAACCAACATTCTTCGTGGAACGTTGCAAATCCGTCCTCATTCCAATTAACAAGGAAACCTATTTAATTAAGAATAGCACGTAGTTAATTACTGATTGCAAATCTAACATTCGGTGATATAATAAACGTTAAAAATAATAGATTCACTTTTTTCAGTTACATTGAATTGAAAATTATTTTTAAACAGTTCAAAAAAGTTTCAAAAACGTATGCAAGTGTAAATTAGGACGTATGTTGATTCTTATTTTCCAAATTCCTGTATTGATGTTAACATAATTTCGAATGATCTTAGTTGTGAAAAAAAAATAGTATTGTCGATTATGCAATCTTCTTGGATTATATAAATAGAGAGAGAGAGAGAGAGTGTTAAAGTAAAGACCAAAAAATATAAAAAGTAAAATAAAATACATGCATATATTGTATCATAAGAGTAAGGACTGGTTTGTATTTTTACAGGTCGCTATCCATGATAATACTAACAGTCCTACAATCTTCTTAACATTTTTTTTTCAGATGTAATTATAACAATATAAAGAAGATACGTAAATGAAAAAATTAGGAAACCTTTTCCACTCGATAATTTAGCCCGGTTTTAAACTCAAAGGGTGCAAAGAAATTACAAAGATATGAAAAGTGTCAATACTAATTGTCATCAAAGGAATATATTATGTAAATACATGTACTGTGAATAATTATATAAATTTATTAAGCCATAAAGTATTGATTATAACATTATGTGATATCGATGCTCTGAGATGTACAACTTAATCGTAATTAAAGTTTCATTTGAACAATTTTTATTCTGTTATTAAATTAAACACGCGTTTGTTGGAAAGGCTTTCATACCAGAGCTGTACGTGTATAAACAAAATTTTACAAATAGCCCGATACCGGATTCCTTACGAAGTAACCTCACAGTCAAGTGTGGATTAAGATATTGAGTTATCAAACCTGATCTCTTTTCTTTTGGAACAGCATACGCCCTGACATCCACATGTCCATCTGTCTCTCTAATGGTACCTTTATCACAAGAAATCAAACAACATTTCACAATATCGTCTGTTCCAGTCGCCATTTCTTGTTTGTCTGGATATATCCAATGCTCTCGCTGTATTGATACAGTGCAGGAAACTAATTTTGTTACAGCATCAATGCTGATTTGAATGCTTCCTTTGCTTGCTGATTTGAATGCTTCCTTTGCTTGCTGATTTAATGCTAGTAATCCTTATCCTGATGCTGTTTTATAATTAGGTCAATGCTACCGGAAGTAGCATCATGCTACCGGAAGTAGATAATGAATTTCAGCATTGCCGTTTAAAGCAATAAAAGTGCCTTTTACAATTATTTGATCATAATATCTCAGTATGTATCAATAATGTGAATACTTTAACCAATATTCTTTCTTTCTTTTTTAATTTTTTACTGAATTAAAACTCATTGATTTTCTGATGCTAGTAGGATAATGCTGATTTTATGTAGGTCAATGCTGGTTTTATCCTTTGCTTGCTGATGCTGATCCTGGTAATGCTGTTTTTTAAATGCTGATCCTGATACTAGCTCGATCCTGATGCTACTAATGCTTATGCTGATGATGGTTTATGTAACAAAATTAGTTCCCTGCACTGTATAATTAAATACCCTGTGTTTGTTGTTATTGTTGGTATGTATCAGCTCCAAGATTGACGCATAAGGTTAAAAATAGAACAGGGAATCCAACATTTAAAGGTATGACTGAGCCATCTTTCACCCGGTAAAAATATTTATGATAGGGAATTGCCTGTTTTATTTGTAATAGCTATATTTTCGAGATGATTAGTATCTGCGTATAAATGTACACGTTCTGAAGAAAACTTGAAATTTTTATTGTAAATTTATTTAATAAACTCTGATATTTTGATTTGTTTTCTTTTGTTTTCTATTTTATGTGTGTAAAGTAACTGCCACCCAGCATCACGTGTACCGACGGAAGAGGACATGATACCTGGATCGGTGTTTCGGGCACATTTTTTTTTTTTTGAAATGCCACTCGTCAGAGGTCAAACCCGAATTAAGTTCTAATTATAGCTATATAAATATCTGGGAATGTGTTCCCGTTTTGCACACATTTGATAATTAGGTATAGAACAATAGGTGTGAAATATGTTTTGATAGCAATTATATTCTGATCTCTGTTTGGGATTTTACCTGGAATTTCCCAAATTTAACTTGTCAACCCAAATGAAGATGAAATTGATACTTAAGAGAAATATTATTATTGCAGTTCACCCTTTTATTTCATAAAGATAAAATGAATGGGTAAATGAATTCAATCTTAATTAATTATTTAATAATAATAATAAAAAAAACTTGTTCAGTTAGTAGTTAGCAATTGATGTACGTTGGGAGCAGGCGGGGCTACCCGTCACATCATCGCGCTGGAGGGCTTAATGCACGTGGCGTGAGAATGATTGTATTGGCTGTTTGTTTAGAGTATTGACAGCCACATGTTTATATACAAATTAAATATCCTTGCCTAAATGCACTCATTTTTCCCACAGGTACTTGTGGACAGGAACAACAACCCCCCCCCCCCCCCGACTACACTCACTCATCTCAAAAATCTTAAGCAGAATTAAATTCTAATGAATAAATTTCGACTTCTTTATCCAAATTTTCCCCAACTTTTTCGCAGACCTCTGGCTTTTCCCTCAATTCTATAACACTCGGAACTCGAGAGTCACACGCTAGGTGTCGTTTTTGCATCACTTCCGTAATTTCTACTTTGACATTTCCAAATCCTGTAGCATTTTTCACGTTTGACGACGAATACTCGGATTATTATGGAATGCCTGTGCAATTAAATGACACGATTAAAGACAAAAATATCTACCGAAACAAGTTATCATGACACATTTTGGTGACATGTATTAGGTAAATGATATTTCGGGCCTGATATCCAAGAGGGGTCCAGTGTAAACAAATGGAAGTGACTTACCTTCTCTATTTTATAATTCCGAGAGTATGAATTTTTAGTAAAACGTTAAATCTGTGTTGTTTTTTGGATTTTTCTTATGGAATACATTGTATATGTGTACTAGAAAAATAATTTATGAAAAAAAGACATAAAAATATTTTTTGACCCAGGGGTATATTCGGGGGGGGGGGGGGGAGGGTCCTGTCCACAAGTACCTGTGGTTTATTTTATGCACGAAATATAGTACATGCAGATAATGAGTACCTAAGATTTTCTTCTTTGCTTTTGTCCTGATCATGTGTTCTGTGGATACAAGTTCTATTCAACATGTCGCAGCCTTCTGATGTAAGTTACCTTGATGACTTGGTAAAAATGGGTTTATTTCGACAAAACGATGATAGAGCTAGCTACCGACATATGAGAAAATTTCTTGCGCATAGTTATCTTTCATGTCGCTTGGAGCATCTCCGTTTCCACAATTACAGCCATAGTACTGTTATTCCAGGACGCGTCTCCAAAAGGTAAAAGGCCAATGGATAGCTGAAATATGCAGCCATTATCTGTATATAAATATTATTTACTTTTAAAAAGCAACGCCATTTTAACCCCAACATCCTGGTTACGAATCGAGTAAACTCTTCTTCATTATGTTAACTCGACTAACTCTCATAGCCCTCTCATACATGTATGTTCTTCCATGTGCTAATATTTAATGGATAAATTCTATTGGATAAAAAGGCTCAGAGACCAGCATTTTTACAGAAATGTCTGTAATGCAAACAGACACAAGAGTTATATTCCCCCCAAAAAACGAACTGCCTTCTACTATCTTATCAAGACTCAGTTGTCAATGACAAGTACTTCACTCATTTTTCAGAAATATTATTTCGTCAATTTCCCTACCAAATTCACAGACTTGTGGACAGGAACCCCCCCCCCCCCCCCGAATATACCCCACAGGTCAAAAAATATTTTTATGTATTTTTTTCATAAATTATTCTTCTTGTACACATTTACAATGTATTCCATAAGAAAAATCCAAAAAATAACGCAGAATTAACGTTTTACTAAAGAATCATACCCGCAGTATTATAAAATACTCTATTTTATAATTCCGAGAGTATGAATTTTTAGTAAAACGCTAATTCTGTGTTGTTATTTGGATTTTTCTTATGGAATACATTGTATATGTGTACTAGAAGAATAATTTATGAAAAAAAGACATAAAAATATTTTTTGACCCAGGGGTATATTCGGGGGGGGGGGGGTCCTGTCCACAAGTACCTGTGATTTTTCCTCTAAATTTAGAACTGTGTGGCTGATGGGTGTTGCCTTAATGCACTCACTAGCCTCCATCCTCCACATTTTACACCAAGCCCTATTTGATATAACGCCATACCTTAACATTTTCATTTCTTTTTTTCCATCTCCTTTAACAAAAATTATTTGTTTCAAACACGGAATATCTCGTATATTCCCTGAAAATTGATTTTTGACAAGATGAAGATGTTTAACAAAATAACTGGTTAACCAAAAATCTATACTTTACATGAAATATGGAGATAACGAACATTATTCAAGCTCAAAGTCCATTTAAACAAGCATTCTGAGAGTATTGCATTAGCAATACTAGTCTCCTACCGGCAAGTGTAATCTGGTTCCCGTTAAGAATTGAAAATGTCATAATTCCGTCAAAAATCAATGAAGCGGAACCATATGCAAACTTGATCTATAACTAATCAAGGTAAAGTCACATACCAAAAATCAGCTCAATATCTGAAAGTGTTTAGAAGAAAATTGCGGAAAATCCTTAAAAATTGAAAAGGCCATAATTCCGTCAAAAATCAATGAAGCGAAACGAAATGCAAACCTGATCTGTAACTCATCAAGATACACTCACATACCAAAAATCAGCTCAATATCTGCAAGCGTTTAGGGAAAAAGTGCGGAAAACCAAGTGGGACAGACTGACAGACAGACAGACGGACGGACAGACTCAGAGGAAACCTATAGTCCCCTCCGGTTTCACCAGGGGACTAATAATACAATTCGGGAGCAGAGCAAACACGGACCTCCAAAAACATCAGAGATGGGATCAGGTGCCATGGAGGAGTAAGCATCCCTTGCCGACCGGTCACACCTGTCGTGTGCTTCTTGTCATGATCGGGTAAACTGAAATATCCGTAGAAATTTCAGTGTGTAAATTATGGCCTAACAATAAGTATGAAAACCATAAGTCAGCATTTGACATAATGATAGATTGTATTTGCTGATAAGGTCATTGTATCGGCCATAGAACTTTTAAGGATACTGTTAATGTCATTGTTTCATCAACTTGACGGTTAATAGCTTACCTCGTTTTAAAAATTGATCGTACGTAGAGCATGCTCTTGTATAAAATCAACTGGGAGACAAAAACCCCATATGCAGGTGATAAGGGTATATTGCTTCATAAGTGAGGGAAGTTGACGATAGAAAAGTTGAAGTCATTACGTTTATCATACAGTTTTATTGTTAGGTTACCATAAGAGTCTTTTTCTAGCAAAATATCCAAATATGAATATGTCAGACTTTATGGTCTTTTATTTCAGGTTCACTGGGAAAATCGAATCGACATATGAATGGAAGTAACTATTGTTATTTGATAATACGTCGTCGATATATCTAAATGTCGAGTTGAAGGCCACAGCAAGTGTTTTCTACTTCTCATGTAGAAGGTTTTGAATAAATTCTGCTTCATATGAATATAAAAATAGGTCTGCTAATAACCGAGCGCAATCGGTACCCATGGGAATTCCAACAGATTGTTGGAAGACCTATCTCCAAAACCTACATAGATGTTGTGAATCAGGAACTCAAGCATCTTTTTAATATCAACTTCAGAGTACTTGTGTCTACAATCAAACGTTTTTAACAAAATAATTTTGCAAATGAGCAATGACAAGGTAAGTATATTTACAGGTTCCAATTTTATTGAAAAAGCAGTTCACTATGATGTCGAAATCCCTGGTCTTTAATTTATCGTGGGGAATGGTTGTATAAAGGTTGAAAAGTCGTATGTTTTGATGTTATTGATTTTGGTAAAATTTTGTGATTTCACATTTTCTATAAGTTCCTTGGAGTTTTTAAGTATCCACATCTGTTTTACACCACTTATCGAATATACTGTAGTACAGTTCTCCTGAAGGTTCTCCTTCACTGCTGTAAATATTTTAGTGAGGATTAAAGAAAGAGGCTTGGTAGAACATTTACTGGAACCCGCTGTGTATCTTTGTAAGGATTTTTTATAGTTTTGGAATCCAGTATAATAGCAGTCGCTGAACCCATATATCGCATAATTATGTTCCTTGTCTTCTATCTATCTATCCTTACATTAACTCTACCGGTTTCATTTGATTGCTTAGTTACACAAATGCAATCAAGTACATATTGGTATATTTCATTATGAAAATCCTAATTACACCAAACTACATAAATCGCAGTTTTCTTACTTCTCATTCCAAGGAGTCAATCTTATGACGTCGCAGACCATGCTGCGCGATTCTCTCTTGAAATAGCATGAATTTGCCAGTAATTTATGTGTTTCCCATTATAACTCAGCAGAAGTAATGGGATCATGACAAAATTCAAAATTTTTATCTCTATAATAAATGGATAGGGTATAAATGTATGACGTTATAAATGAAGGCAATTTTATTATCTCGTTTTATAAAACAACTAACTGAAAATTTAAATTTAAAACATGAATAAGTAACACAGAAATGAGAAGTGTATAGGCTGCATGATAAATAATGAAATAAATGTCTCTTAAAAATTACACTACGGTTTTTTTTTGGCTAGTTTTTCAAACTTAAATATGGCCATGTTTATTTAAAAAAAAACATTATTGTCCAAATACGGAAGATGCAGATTTTCCATTTAGTATTTCCAGTTATAGATTAAAATTAGACGAGATCAAAGAAGAATGACCCTGCAACTCACATATTAGTTATATTTGTATCGTCATATATATCCTTACCTTCCCCAATGCTCTTCTGACAGAAAGGAATTTCCATTTGAAACCAGATCATATTTGTTCCATAAATAAGTAAATTGAAGAAAGAAAAAAACAATCCAAAATATTTAATATAGATGTGTAAAGAAAATCATACCATTGAACATGAAAGATCTCCCATTAAACCATGAATTCATTCAATATCAAGAGTTATAATTAAAAGCTTAATTTAATGTTTTAATTATAATTGTTCGTTTTTGTCAGCCATTTATATACTTATCTTGTTTGTTAATAATTGTTAGTAAAATACTTTTTGTTTTCTTTACATGTTATATATAATTCCTGAACTTTAACATTTAAACTAAAACAAGACACTGACAATGCACACGTTTCTAAATGTAAAATCTGACATGCACCCTGACTCTTGCAACATGTGATCATTTATTACGATTTGAAAAAAAAAACAAACAAAAAACAACACAAAAAAAAAAAATCCTACAAATTCATTTCATTGGAACTTTCATTCTTAGGTTTAAATTTTCATGGTCAAAGTCAAAACAAAAGTCTACAGTTTGCGTTTCAAGTCGTAAGTGACAAGTCTTTCTTCGCGCTTTGCTTCCCAGTCTTGCAGTTCTTCCTTTGGGAGCACGTGTCTCATGACCTCTGACATCAGCTTATCACAATCTCCAAAAACACGTGACCCTAATGTTGAATGTCCGTCCTCGTCCATCTCACAGCAAACTGAATCATATGGAGTTTTTTGTCTGAAAGAAAAGGAATGAACTGTAATAAGCAAATCTTTTTTCGTATTATTCTGCCTGCATGCAATACTGGTCTGTCCACCACAGACCATTAAAAACGATAGTGAATCATAGTTAACAAAACTTGTCATGGATTACATCAGCAATTCAAATCAATACCTATTACAGATAACAAGTCGGGTTGGTTTTTGTCCCATTTCCACCAGGGAGTTTGCTGGGGAAACTTGAAGTGTGGATCCAAGAGCTATGACAAGATCTGCCCGTTTAGCATTTAGCATTGCGTTTCCCAAGACATCTTCCTCCAGGTAATCCCCAAAATTGATTATAGTATTCATCAGATAACCGCCACAATTCTAATGATGTAAAAATTAATACACATGTATGTAATGTAAAGAATAGGGTATCTAACTGAAAGCCTTATACCTGAATTAGATCAAAGATAGTGCACTGCAGTTGTAAATGCGGTATCTTATGTATCTAAATGACGCGATAAGCCAAGCCCCCTCCTCTCTCTCTATATATATACGTATATATAATTTTCTCGCAATTCATGCTAAGTGTTTATTACATGTATTCAAGTAACACAAAATGTTGTTTTAACGAATATCTAAATGTAAAACGTATCAGATACCTCATCTGAACACACGCCTCCTGTACGATGATTAATGCCACATCGCTCACACTTTTTAGGCGGTACAGCAGTGGATTGTCCCCTACAGCGAGCACCTTTTTCATACCGTTTCCCACATTTTTCACATTTTTCCAGGAACGCATTACCGTGTAGTTCGGATATCTGCGATTCTGGTATTCCAGATAGTCTGTGCAAGCCGTCTGTATTTTGACTGATTACATATTTTATATATCCCATCTCCAACAGTTTTAGTAAGGCTTCATGTGTGTAGGTAGGGCGTAGGTCTACGAGACTAAAACCTCTTTGTTTAGATAAACCCCTCTGACCTGTTTAGGTTAAACATTTCAACATTTAATTATTTTCTCAAAATTGTTATATAAACTAAACTATTTTAAATTGTCAATTTTTGCACCTTGCAGCTATTTTTTATTCTTAATTTCATCGAAATAACACAATTGAATTCGAAGCTACTAGTTATTGAAATGTTTGGAGATGAACAGTATTCAAGCTCAAAAGTTAAACAATACAAATTTTGGAGCAGAGCAAACACGGACCTCTAAAACTTCAGGGGTGGGATCAGGTGCCATGGAGGAGTGAACATCCCCTGCCGACCGGTCACACCCGCCGTGTGCTCTTTTTCATGATTGATTTATGTAAAATATTAGTAATGTTTGTAAAATTACCGTATTGTTTGACTTTCTCTTGCGTGGTCCACTTGCCATGAATTCCTCGAAAATCACCGATCCCGGCTGCTGTCGAAATACCAGCACCTACAAAAAAAATCATTGAAAGTATTTTATAGCTATTAAATTTTCATTAATTATTTAATTAATAAACAATTGTTAATGAATCATCTATACATTAAAAGACACTTAGTATTGATTACTTTACCGGTGAAGGCAATGCAGTAGTTAGACTTGTTCATGAGGTGGGCGATTCTTTCAGCCTCCTCCTTGATTTTTGTAAGAGAATGGTGAGTTTCTGCTGTTTTCGCGGCTTCTCTTATCATGTCCTTTTCCATTTCCGATAGGACCAGGACAGTGCTGGCTGGGTTTTTGGCACAGGCCGATCTCCACAATGTATTCCAACAGTCGATATGGAACATAGCCATTCCACCCTCACCCCAGTTAACTTTGAACTCTATAGTGAAATGACACCTCTTACTGAATATTGAACAGAAAACAGGGTGATAACAGAAACAGATACTAGATAAAGCACATACCCCCCCCCTCTCAAAGCACGTGAGGATGATTGGGAGGGTGCTATAACTGCTGCCGGCGTGTGTTATAACTGTTTCCGCGGTGTGATATAACTGCCTCCATTGTGATTAAGCATTCGTCATGATATATATAGTAAAACAATGAATACATACATATATATATATATCACAAAGAAATGGAAAGAGTATTATTTATTTTCTTGCCCTCGCGGGACAAATTATTTGCAGAATAACAAGGAACAAATTATTTTTTCACTTGGAGACACTTCCCGGGTTGTGATATATTAACTTTTTGTGGTGTGATTTAGCATTCTTCAGGATATATAGTAAAACTTATAACATTTGTGACAATGACAAAAATGCTATATTCCGGTGTGATTAAGCATTATTCAGGATATATAGTAAAACTTGTTACATTTGTGACAATGACAAATATATATATATATATATATATATATATATATATATATATATATATATATATATATATATATATATATATATGAAAATTATTCAAACATAGAGAACGAGTAAAACATAAGCGCTTATGCTTTACTCGTTCTCTGTTCTGATATGTTTGAATATTTTTCATATTTATCACCGACCACTGTGATTTTTCTTCGATCGATCGATCTAACCTATCTATCTAATATCACAAAGTAATTAAAGGAAAGACCATTATTTGTTTTATTTATTTTCATGCTCTCGCATGACAGATTATTTGCAGAATAACAAGTAACATGTTATTTATTTTTTTGACTTGGAGAAAAAAAAAAAGGAAAAATGCCTAAAATATGTTTTTTTTCTGTTTAACGGCGGTGTTTCCACCAGTGAAAGTCAGATTATTTGTTTATTTTCTTCCCAGTTGTGATTTTAAACATTTTCAATGACAGTGTTTATTTACAAAATCGTCTAGGCGCCCCTTCCAGAATATAATGGTTGTCCAATAAAAAATATTAAAATTCAATTGTTCTAGTGGTATAAATGGCAAAGATTGTACAAACAAAGATTGTACAAACAGGAAAAAGTAATGTAACTAGAGCCGAGCTCGTTGCAATGCAACGAATAGGTCTTCCGTCGGAGCTCCGGACAGAACATAGCGACCTTGAGTCAAGGTCAGGCAACATTTTAAGGTTATAATCAATCCTGTAAGGGGCATCAACTTGCAATGTTTCAACAGTAGAAAGACAGTAAAAGAATGTAAAATTCTCCTGTCAGTGAACTTGAACTTGTCCAAATAACCTTGCGTCAAGCCATGACACATTCTGCAGCTGGTTAAGAGCAAACACCATATGTATGTCACCGACATAAAAAATTCACAGTCATGTATTCTTTCAGACTATTCATCCAAAACATCATATTCTAAGTGACCTCGAATTTAAGTCAAGGCCATTACACACTCTGGATGATATATTTATCATATTTTCAGTGAAATGCAAATGCATGCAATTTTTTCTATTAAAAAATTATAGACGTTTTTGTTTGTTTGTTTGTATGTTGTTTAACGTCCCTCTCGAGAATTTTTCAATCATATGGAGACGCCATCATTTGCCGATGGAGATCTGCAAACTTTGACCTATACTCGGCAGTCATGGCCATTGAACAGTGAGGGATCTTTTTCGTGCCAGCACCTACTGCCAGACGGGTCCTCAGTTTATACGGTCTCATCCGAAGGATCGGTCTCTGCGTCCCACAGAGGGATTCGAACCTGCGATGTAAGGATCAACTCCTTTATCCACGATTCTAGAGCAGACACTCTTACCACTGCGCCACGTGGGCGACTAGACCTTTTTGAATTTTACACTATTATATCAGTAACCTTGAACTTGCCTAAATGACCTATTCTAAGGTCAAAAACAACCTTTGAACAAATTATGAGCTTCCAGTGATACTCAATGACAAAGATATTCCTGAAAAAGAATATTGCACTTTTCTGTCAGTGACCTTGAACTTGCCAGAAAGACCTTGGATCAAGGACAAAACACATCCTTGGAGCATAAGCAATCTCTGTATCAAGTAAAAGCTTCCAGTGATTTTATATTACAAAGTTATAGCATGGAAAAAATTAATATTTATCTGCCAGTGACCTTGAACTTGCCGGAAAAACCTTTGTTCAAGGTCAGGACAAACCCATCTCTAGCAATCTGTGAAAAAGTTTCCTGTGTTCCTCCACCCCTTATAAATTTATAATCCAGGCACGATTTTTGCCACTTATCTCAAACCGGTGGATCATAAGCAATCTTTGTTCCAAGTATGAGCTTCCAAAATTATAGCACATACAGCAATCTTACACTTTTCTGTCAGTGACCTTGAACTTACAGGAATGACTTTGGATGAAGGTCGTGGTAAACCCTTCTGTCAGAAGCAATTCCTGTATCAAGTATGAGCTTTCAGTGACTCTCTATTACAAATAAATGGGTCGGACAAAACTTTGCTATTTTTTTCCAGTGACCTTGAACTTGCCGGAATGATGTTGGATCAAAACCATGACACACCCTCGGATCATTAGTAATTTTTGTACCAAGTATGACATCCACTTTCTTCATAACAAAGTTATATCCTGGGCAAACTACCGGTATCACGTACAGACGGACAGCTAGGCAGACGGACTGTGTGATTCCAAAAGACTCAAAACAGATCTAGAGGGGGTTGGGGCAGTTAAATGTATATACTACATGTAAACCAAGTAAAAGTGACCATGGACCCCCCCCCCCCCGCCCCTATAAAACGCGGACCCTTCCTCGAAAACGCGGATCTGTGTTAAAATGGTATGAAAAGTCTTAGGTATGAAGCTTTAAAAGTCAACACCCCCCTCCCACACACAAACACACACACGAAATAGGTTTTTCACGTTTGGGAAAAGAGTTTCTTTTTTTGACTCGTCAAGAAATTTCTGGGTTGAAATATTTTTTTTATTGGGATCCCCCCCTCCCTGTGGAAAAAAATCCTTGATCTGCGCCTGAACCCATCTAATTTTTACTACATGTATCCGTTAAAAGAGGATGTGACCCTTCATTTGAACAAAACTTTACCAAAAATATTCTATGTTAATTTTCGTTGTTATGGCCCAGTGGTTCTTGATAGATAAAAATGAGAAAAATTTACAAGTAGCTTTAGAACGACAACGACGATAACGCTAATATACACCGAGAAAGCAAACAAAGATGAAGAATTCTGAACAGAATAGCTTACTTGGGCCTTTGGCTTGGGAGATGAGATACTTATTAAAATTTGAAATTATTGTGTCGTTTTTTTTATGATCGACGGGCCTGCATTTCGAAGAGAGAGAGAGAGAGAATTTCTAGCTAGGTCTTTGAATAATATTGACATCGGTTCAAAAAACAAGGTCTCTAGGAATGTACATGTATATAAAATAGACAGTGCCTTTCTCTCAGAATTCATCACCTGCCTCTGTATAGCTCCATCCTCACTTGTATTTACATAACCGACTGCGAAGGAAAACATTCTATTTATTTCGGGGATGGGGGATTACGTATAGCACTTGATGAGAGGAAATTTATTCACCTATACGTTCATTAAATATGTGCTTCTGAGTATTTGTATAAGATCGCACGACTTTCGTGTTAATTTATAAAAATTAGATTATGTAAGCAAAGAACTAAACTAACATTTGTTAGGTGAATTAAATAATTATTTAGCCGTTAATAAGGGGTTTTATTAACATCTGTAAGAACCACTTTATTTTAAAAAACAAATAATCGTCCTATTATGGGCGCCCATGATATATTAGACAGGATGTTTAATTAAAATATAATTCGGATATCGACATCCAAGAAAACAACACATTCTTTTTCAGTGGCGGATACAGGAATCTTGAAAAGGGGGCCCGACCAGTTTTGGGTCGGGGTAGGGGCCCAAAGCCACAAAAAATATTGATTTAAATATTAAATCTTGTGTATATTTTGGATACAAAAGGGGGCAGGCCCCCTGAACCTCCTCTAAATCTGCCAGGTTTTTTTTTCATTATAAAGACTTGCAGAATAAGCGAAATACATCACAGACATTTAATAAAAATCTCGAACCCGATCTAAAACGCGTTCACAAAGTCATACCAGACGGTTTTAGTTAATAGGGCATTTTTACAGTGATACATGTATGAGAAAAGTCTGATAATTGCTGTTAATCTTAAGGACATTGGCAAGGTTTCTGGTTATCGTATAGTATTTTTCAAGAACTCTTGAGTAGGTTTAATTGTATTAAACAGGCTATATTCTGGATCGTTTAACCTACGAAGCCAACCTTCTTTTTTAAATTTTGTCAAATCAGTGGTTTTACAATTAACAGTGCATTTCCTATATAAAATGTTGATAAAAGGGACCTACATAATTTTTCACCATAATATTTCTCCAAAACCCACTTAGTTTTTGTATTATATACATTATTGTATCTTCATTTCTTATGAATTCTAGATATTTTGGCTGAAAAGGTATATAAAGAAACAAGACATGGACATACCTGCACCGATCATGTATTTCTGAGTTGCTTCCCTTATCAACTAAAATTGATCAAGAGACTGGTTCGTTGTTTCTGTCATGTAATTGACTGAATTGATGAAACACATTGTCATAAAAATATTTGCATTTATTTTTAACGTTTTATTCGTAGTTTCTAAACGCTGCTACCTTCACACCTAAGAACTGTTCTCACTCGGCCTACCTTTCAGATGTCACATCTTTGCCCTTCCCAGTATACGCGCTAAGCATAACTATGGTAAATGACGACCTGTTGGCTCTTTGTCCCTGAATACAATGTACAACAACGCCATCATTACTTTTCTTTCTTGCTGTATAGATGATTCTACCCGTTGAAGGAGGTGCACGTGCTTTTGTTTACCTCTGTAACATACGCTTTATTGGTTTTCACCGCTTAGAGAATTCTACACGGGAGATCACTCTCAATC